CCCTGGCAAATGTTTTTGTTGTTTTGTGATATGTACACAATGCATTTTTGTATTGTTGTGTATTGTAAATAATAAAGTTTATTATAAAAAAAAATAAAATAAAAAAACTCTATAAATGTTATTAGTTAACCCTTTATAGGACACTCAGTGGAGTATTTTGAAAATCTAAATTTTAAGCCAATCCAGGACAAGACGTTATTACCTTTGTAGCATACAAAATATATGGATATTTTGATGTCAAAAAATTAATGTCAATGTAATAACAAGAAACACACACTTGCACAAATATATTAAGAAAAATAATAGTGCTTCTGGAAGAAATACATTAAAAAAAAATTTAAAAAAAACACTCAGAGTGAAAGAAACACATTTTATTTTGGTCCAACATAACCTTATAGGCATTAATGCTGATACTGGCACTAACTTTTTTTTAATTTATAAACCTAAATATAATTGTTAACTAGGCTTATTAACTTTTTAACTTTATTTTTTAACTTTTCAATTAGCTTTTTAAAAATTTTTCTTGACTTGTTACCTTTTTTTCCAACTTAATTTCCAATCTATCATTCAAGGGTTCATCTAATTGATCAAATGTCAAAATAAGATGTACAGCCATGTAGCAGCATCTTTGCTGAAAGGCTGGATATAGATCTTAAAAAGTGGTTAAAGTGTCATATTTTTTTAATGAATTGTGGTGAATAGCCTATGTTTTTGAAAATATCACACAATTTAAGAAGAAAATAATAAGAAGAAAATAAATATATATAAATACCAATGTGCAAAAACCCTGTATAATAAGCCTGCTATTAAAAAAAAAACTGTCATATGTAGAAACACTGTATATATATATATATTGTATATATCCCCAGGGGGGTCACCATTAGGCAGAACTAGGCAGTTGCCTAGAACTTGGGGCCCAAAAAACTCTGTTTACATGTATAGTTACATATATATTCCTTATTTGTGCACATTAACCATGTTTTTGATAAAAATCCCTTTAGCTAAAATGCCATCAGAACGCTTATAATATTAAATGTGTCTCTTTGAAGCTTTTCGACTCATTGCCAAACTGGATTGATGCTGCGTTGATGCTGTCTCACAGAATACTGACACCTGCTGGACATTTAAAGACACTACAGGCGGCTTATTGGACAGACTAAACTGAAATGATTTGATGACCTAGTACAGTGATAAAATTGAAGGATATATTGTATTATCTTATATCTAGGTTTAAATTGAAAATATCTTTGAT